AGTGGTCCTTAAAGTGGCAGTGTGGACTCATTGTTTAGAAAATCAACCTTGTGCTGCTTAATTTGACCTAAACTCCTAATGTAAATCAGGCCTCAGTCCCTGTACTAGAGCTGTCAAGTACAGCTCATAAAACTATTTTGTGGTGTTAGTGTAATTATGGCAAGTAAGTGTGCATGTTGGCAATTAAGCAGCAGGACTTAATCAAGTACCAAAGGATTCCATTCCATGTTTTCAGCAACCTACCAGTTCCTAGAAGATAGAGTTGAGTGAGGAAGAGCTTGTATAATGACGAAGGCCTGGTTTGTGCTTTTAAGTTAACACAATCTAATTACATTACTTGGCACTTGGGCTGACAAGAGTTTTCGCAGGGCTTTGGGGGGAGCTGACTCAGGGGTAGGGCAGGGCTGCAGGCTAGCCTCCTTCAGTGCTGCCAGGTGCTCCATCAGTGATTTTTTTTTAAGGGCCCGGGGATCTGGCCCCTGGCAAGATTGCAATGGTGTCAGCCAGGACCCCCCAGCCCTTTTAAAATCACCAGGCCTGGAGAAGCTGCCCCCTCTGCATCCCTCGCCCAACCCCCATCACCACAGTCAGTGGCCCTGCTCGGGACTGAAAATCTTCTCATCCTCTGACAGGGATCAGCAATCTTTCCCACGTGGTGTGCCAAGTTTTAACCCTCCTGCCCTGGAGAAGGGGAGGGGCTCTACTCACCACATGCCACATTTGATCTGCCCTGGGCTCCACTCTGGCTTTTCCTCTGGGGAGGGGAGGAGCAGCCTCCATGTGGATGCAGCACGGAGCCTCGGGGATTCCCCTACCCCTGAAGAAAGCCAGTGCTGGTTCCAGTCTTGGGGTGTGTGTGTGTGTGTGTGATGCTAGATCGCCAATATGGACTGGGGTTAGGGAAATGGGCAAGGTGAGTCGGGGGTGACCCCAGTGTGTCCAAAACCCCCAACCCTCTGACACCCCAGTCCCCAATTCCCCCATTACCTCCTCAGCCTGGCCCCTCCCTTCTCCTGGTCCTGACTCCCATGATCCCACCTCTCCCACAAGGGGGATCCTGGCTCTGTGAGGGGTCCCTGTGCTGCCTGGTGGAAGCGGATGGGGAGTCAGGGCCACACCATCGCTTCTTGCTACCCCTCCTGCCAACAGATCCAGGGCAGATGGAGAAGCAGCATGAGGTGGCAGGGGGCTCCCTCAGAATGGGGCCTGGAGTGCACTGACTGCCAGCCCCACTACCGGGGACTATTCAATGGTTGTGTAACCACTAAGATAGCATGTGGTTCCATAAATATTCAATTACCTGGTATCTAACATCCCTATTCCTGACCATAGAACATATATTCCATTCTGGTTTGAGTACAGCCACTTCCTCCATTTTGGCTTGTTGCTACATTTAAATTAGGAAAAAGGTCATCTTTGAAAATGTTTGGCTGGCTGTGGGTTACTCTGGGATTCACGTCACGTGCCCTATTTGCTCTGATTGCACAATCATATTTAAAATCTCATTAGTTCAAACTTGATCTATTTTACTGGTATAGGATGAATGTTTCTCTCCTTGGCCTGTAGAATTAAATTATTTTCTTTATAATCAGTATTGTCCTTTTTGTATATTTCCACTACTCTGTAATATTTGGGCTTTGAACACAGTAAGAGAATGTTTTTAATTAAAAAATAAAACTCTGTCATTGCTAAATACTTTATAAAACAAAGTTTAGGTTCTCTGTGTGAAAAATGTGTGTGCATAAAAACATAAAATGAATTTCTACATCTTGAGAAATATAGTACAGAATGTGACTTTGATGCAAAATTTGACCTGACAGTGGCCCTTTTCAGTTATTCATGGTTGTTTTTATCCAAGCCTAGGTAGTGTTGAAGCTCTATTTATGGAAAACAATAACTGATTATTGTTGTGTTTAAACCAGAATTTACAGTGCACAACCAAATAAGTGAATGACTTGAACATATTAGATTTTTCAAAACATGTTGGCACTAACTTAACTTTGCTTACTGTGTAAATCTCTTTGCTAAGCACTTACGGGTATGACTACACATCAAAGTTAATTTGAAATAACAGCCGTTATTTCAAATTAACTTTAATAGCATCAACACAGGCAAACCGCTATTTCGAAATAAAATCGAAATAGCGGGGCACTTATTTTGAATTTGATAAACCTCATTCTATGAGGAATAACCCCAAATTTGAAATAGCTAATGCGAAATAAGTGTTGTCTAGATGCTTATCTAGATGCTTATTTCAAAATAGGGGGCCTCCAGCCCTTCCCAGTTTCCCTTGGTGGCCACTCTGGGCCAAACCAGGAGAACTCCTCTCCTCTCCCCCGGCCCCGGAGCCCTCAAAGGGGCAGACTCTGGCCACAGTGCATGTGCCAGTTACAGGCCTGCCTGCACAGAGCAAACAGTCACTGACCCTGACCTAGTGGCCCCAGTAAGAGCCGGACAGCCAGTGTCTGCCAGCTGTCTACCGCCCAGTCCCCCAGCTCCCAGGAGCCAGCTAGGGACCAGAGATGTCAGGCACCCTCCTGGACTAGTGCGGAGATCATGGACCTCATTGAGGTTTGGGGGGAGGCCTACAATGTCCATGATCTCCGCACTAGACGGAGGTACACAGCCGTGTACGGCCTCATAGCTGCCACCAAAGGCCACATGTACTCCCAGGAGCAGGGGCACATGAAAATTAAAGAGCTGCGGTAGGCGTACGCCAGAGCCACACGGGGCAGCTCCCCACCAGAGGCAGACACATGTCCCCATTTTGACACCCTGGGTCGCATAATGGGGGGGCAGGATGGTCCGTGCCACCCCGGGGGGCAACAATCCGGGAGCAAAAGGCCCTGACCAGAGCATGGAGGAGGAGTCGCAGGAGCTGCTGCGGAGGGTGCCACGCCACCAGGACCCCCGAGCTGTCCCAGCAGCTGAGTCACCAGGGTCGTCTGGGGAGGCCATAACATGTGAGTGCCATCACTGTCCCCCCCCTTCTGGGGGGGGGAGCAGAGGGAGACCAGGGACCGTGCGCATGGGCCTTGCTTACCACGCATCACGCAGCCACCTGTGCACATGCGAGCATGTGCTGTGCCACCCCTGGGCATGTGCCGTGCCACCCCTGGGCTTTAGCTGCCTGCCACACAGGGGCCTTGGTCTGATAGCCACACGTGTGTGTGAAGAGACATGACATGCTTCTGACCCTGGGGCGGGACACAGCAGGACACCCTCCCTCCACAAGCCCCCTCTACATAGAAGCAGAGGACATCTCCTCACCACTTCAGCCGCACACAGCACAGGGGCATGGGTACAGTCTTGGGGCAGCTCCCACTCCCTGGGATAGCCGGACGTTCCGACCATGGCCTCTGTGCAAGCACATTAGCTCTGACAGTGCAAGGCACGGTCATCCTCACCTCTTGGAGGGGGGCTGGGCTTCAACCACTGTGTCCCCAGGGAGAACTGACCACTTCTCTTGTTTCTCCAGAGCCACACCAGCTGCACGTGCAGGACACACCACCCCTCCCGGGATATCCTCCCACACCCGAGGACTCCACAGGTCCACCCGAACACTGCAGGGGTACCGACAGCAGCACCTGGGGGCCCTGCAAGCCCTGAACCGCACCTTGGAGCACTGGGGGCAAGATGATCGGGAGTTCCAGCGGCAGCTGCTTGCCCATGGTTGTGCCATCTGCCCACACCTCCAGAACCTGGTGCAGAGTGTGCCGGGATATCCTCCCACACCCGAGGACTCCACAGGTCCACCCGAACACTGCAGGGGTACCGACAGCAGCACCTGGGGGCCCTGCAAGCCCTGAACCGCACCTTGGAGCACTGGGGGCAAGATGATCGGGAGTTCCAGCGGCAGCTGCTTGCCCATGGTTGTGCCATCTGCCCACACCTCCAGAACCTGGTGCAGAGTGTGTTGCCTCGTGCCACTCCCGCTCTCCCTCCCACTCCTTCTCCCCCTCCCGCATCTCCCTCCATACCCTCCTCAGTCTCCACACCCTCCTCCCCATCACCCTGGGGACACCAAGGCCTCCACACCCACTGTACTGGGAGACCGTTGGCCCGGCGAGACCCTGAACCCTGAGCTTCCCCTCCCCCTTGTTCCCCTTGTTTCCCCCTTCCAGCTCCCTCTTCCCAGTTTTCCCCCTCCCCTCTCCCACCCTCTCTCCTGCCCTCTCCTGCATCCTTTCCCCCGTCTCCCTACAGTTTCATTCCTCCTCCCCAGTTGTGTTGAATAAAGAGAGTTGTTATTTTTGAAAATACGTGTCTTTTATTTGACATCTGGAAGGGGGGGGGGAGGAATGAGGCACAAGTCCCCAGTGGGGCAGACCAAGGAGGCTCTGAGTGCTCCTTTGAGTGCTCCTCAGGGTGGACGCTCTCCCGCAGGGCCTCCTGCCTACTGGCAGCCCCCCAATGGACCTCCCAGATGACAGCCTGCAGCAAGTGCAGTCACGCTGATAGCAACATGTCCACGAAAAGCACCAGAGTGCCCAAGGGAAGCTCTGGCTCCATGTTGCAGAGTGCTATGATGTCCCGAGTGAGGGCAACCAGAGCATGCAGAGACACAAATGCTTTGCTGTCCCTCAGCAAGGCAGGCAGGCAAGCAGGGACACCTGAGAACTGGCTGTCTGGGGATGCGGGGTCCCTTTAAGCACAGGCTTCAGATAGCCTCCGGCAACAGCTACACAAAAGACACTCCTGACCTGATGCCCTACCCCTGACCTAGTTCCGGTCAGCCTTAAATCCGAATCAGTGTCCACTCAGTGTGGACGCAGTATTTCGAAATAGAAAAAGGCTATTTCAAACTGCATTTTGTGTGTAGACACGTTATTTTGAAATATCTTATTTCGAATTAACTGTTTCTAATTAAGATATTTCGAATTAACACTGTAGTGTAGACGTACCCTACCATAATAGGCGATGGGTGCTGGTTTGGGTATTCGAGCCATTGAAACAAATTTTAATTTTAATACCTCTCCCCTCCTATTATGTATCTGTAGGAATTGAAACTGCCTGTCTATAAGGCCCATTCACCTCAGATTGGGATGCGCCGCTACTTCACTGATCTCTTGGGTGTCCTCAGCAGCCGCTGCAGTCTCTGCCCTACAGCACGGCATCTTGCAGTCTACTTATTGGACCTTTTTATGGATCACTATGATATTACTGTCAAGCAACTATATGTCATTTCAATTGCCTGCCTTCTTCTAGCAAGTAAGTTAGCTGCTGCTTGTTGTTTTTTCTGATCAAATAGATAGTTGCCTTGTTTATGTAACACACAAGCTCCTATTCTCTGTTCAGAAGGGGATAATTTTAGTAAAAGAGAAAAACTTCTAGAATTCATCAAGTGGGGCCTGAAAATGTGCAATGCTTGGCTTGCTTTGAGATGAAACAGAGCTGGTAACACTCAGGACATTGGAGAATAGGACCACCTAATGTCTCAGCTGAGGGCATTTACAGCAGCAGCTGTATGTGTTTGAACCAACGTTAAGAGTGTGTGTGTATGTGTGGGTTTTTTTTAAGTACCTTTGTTTAGTAACCAAAGTGAAGAACAAATTGAATTGTTAAACTCTTGCATTTCAGGAAGTTTTTAAGAAGCCATCTTAAATGATGGGAGTTTTTCTTTGGCAAAGTTAATTCAGCATTCCTAGCCAATAGCTTTATACAAACTCTAAACATATGTGCCATTGGAGAACTTTTCTCACAGTGATGTCTTCATAGATGATAGATGCAGGTTTTAGTGAGAACCTGGCTAAAAAACATCCGGTCATCTGAAGAAGTGCGTTTTGCCCATGAAAGCTCATGATACCAACTGCATGTTTTGTTAGTCTTTAAAGTGCTACTAAACTATTTGTTGGTTTTTAAGTTTTTTCTGTTACAGACTCACTCAGCTACCCCTCTGAAGATATAAAAGACAATTACTTGCTCTTGTAACTGGTATACTTTGAGATATGTTGTTCATGTCTTTTCCAGTCAGGTGTCTGTGCTTCAGAAAATTTTCCCTAGCAGCTCCTGTAGGGTCAGTTTGGAGACCCCTAGAGTGGCACCGCTATATTAGCGCATAGATTAGCACACATCTCAAAGAACACCAGTTACAAGAACAGGAAACTCTATTTTCTTCAAGTGCTTGTTCATGTCGATTCCAATCAGGTAACTCCAAAGCTGCTACCCCAAAGATGTGGGGTTGGAGTTAGGAATCACAGATTGAAACACTGCCCTACCCACAGCTGCATCCTCTCTGGAGAATTTATCAATGGCATAGTGAGCTGTGAACGTATGGCTGGAGGATCACATGGCCGCCCTACAGAGCTCATGGAGGGGAACTTGCACCACCAATTTAATCAATGAGGCATGTGCTCTAGTCAAGTGGCCCATGACAGGTAGGGGCGGGACCCCACTATGTCATAACATGTGTGTATGCACTGTACTATCCAGGGCGATGTACCCTTTGCAGAGACCAGATTAAGGATGTTAAATTGTGGTTAATTGACTAGTCGAGTAGTTGATGGAATTTCCACCGACTAGTTGATAGGCACATCTGCATTCCTCCTTTGAAATGTACAAGAGCCCCTGCTAGGGCTTTGGTATTTTACAGGGCGGCGTCACTGCAGAGCTGAGTTGCAGATTAGCTGTGTGGCACTACCACTTTGAAGTATTCCTCCTCCCCCGCCCTTTGCTGCATCTATTTCATAGAGGTGGCGGGAGGGGGGGGTCAACTTGTTGATAGACTATCCGCTAAGCAAATATTTATCAGATATTCAACTAGCCATCTAGTCCTTAACATGCTTAGACCAGGTTCCTCCCTCGTCCACTCCGCTATTGCCACAAATAGCAGCAGAGTAGACTGTCAAACAGGTCGTTATTTTTGGCCTCCTTGGCCTACTGTCCTTGACTCTCCTTTTTGTTGACAGTTCATGCCATGAGAGAGGAGGAATGGAGATGTGAGAAAAGGAACTCATACCCCTTGTAGGGAATGAAGTACCTCCTCTCAACCCCGTTGGCTGTTGGGGGGCTGGACACTGAGGTTTGCCACAAATTCATGTAGTTTGACTGTGTAGTCTTTATTATCGGCAAAGCTACACTTGATGATCCTTCATGTGACAGAATGTCCACCATGGGGTCCTCCGACTCCTGTATCTCCTCCAAGAGGAGACTCATGTTCTGTGCAATCTGGTGTAATAGCTCCTGGTAAGACTGGAAAAGGACCAGCCATAGAGGCGCTCGCCACTGCCTCGTCTGGGGATGAGGATGAGTAGGCGTGTGGAGTCACCCACGGGCTCTGGAGGATGCTGGGTCTGGACCCCCTCATCTGACCCTGTTGCCCTGATCTGGATGGCTGGTCTCAGGCCTCAGCTGATGGGCTGTTATGTCTCAGGGGATGAGACTCCATTGCTGGTGCTCTTGAATGGCGCCTCTCCCAGGGGGATTGGCACTGGTGGCTCGTTGACATCAGTGACCTGGGCACACTCTGGGATTGGTGGTATGTTCAGGGTGTCCAGAAGGGCCATTGTGTAGGCAGCAGCCACTGTGGCTGCCATGGTACCAAGGGGATGCTCCCTCTGCGATTGGTGCAGCTCTGCATCCAACTCAGACTCTGTGATGACTATGGCAGTGCTGACGATGTTGGTGCCGCCACACAGAGACCTCCTCTGAACTCTTGTGTGGTACTGGGAGAATCAGACCTGGATGGTGCCAAGTGCCCCTGGACCTCAACTTTTGTTCTGGAGCGGGAACTCGACTTTGACACTGAGGGTCATGGTTCGCTTGGTGCCTCCCGGGAACTCGGCGCTGGAATCTCTGCCGGTCTTACAGGGGGCATACACTGCGGGTGGTGGTGACCCCTCCAACGGGAATGATGACCGTCCCAGTGTCATTCTGTGGACTATGGCCAATGGAGCATCGCTGGCTTCCCCCTTGAGTGGTGTGGTCTTGGCGGTGCTGGTGGTTTATCCCACTCCCTAGACACTTCAGTTTCTGAAATCTCTGAGGTTTCAGGCTGCCTCATAGGTGTTGGGCATCGAGAGAGAGTTCAAGATCGGACTCGTGTCCCTGTCTGGGCTGTTCCCCACTCAGGCACTTTGAGTGCAGAAGGTGAGGGCCCACAAAGAGGGCGTTTAAATATACCTTGCCGCTACAAGCTCTGATTACAAAAATTCTCCCAGAGTCACAGATTCACTGACTTTGAGGGGAGGGTTCACCGATTCACTGACTTTGAAGGGCGGGTTCACAGATTCACTGACTTTGAGCTGCCACGATCAAGTGATTTTTACCCCTAAAACCAGAGGCGAACACTTGAATTCTCCCCCAGGGTTACCCCAAACTCTTTTGCCCCAAAAGAGCTTAGAAAAAAGAAAAGAGAAAAACAGTCTTTGGTAGCTGACTTCTTAGTCTGAGGCATGCAGACACAGACAGACAGACCTCCTGTGTTTTCCAGGACACAAGAATCAAATCATCACCTTTAAAAAGTGATTTTTATTACAAATAAAAGATATACTTGATAAAGCATACTTGGTTGCTAGATGTTACAGAGCGGAAAACAAATTAAAACAAAAAATCTCTGGGAACAGTTCTGAGATGGTAAATGGGGAGGGGAGGCATAGATTCACACAGAGCAATCAAATCACATTATAAAGAAAAATACCTTGATCACAACTAGATTCATTTTTTCCCTTTATTTACGCACGATCTTCTCTTGGTTCAGTCCACTTCCATGCCCTGAATTCTCTGGAAGCATGATAGTCCTGCCTGGGTTTAAATCATTCTGTGTGTCTCAACTCCTGGATTAACTCTCCTGCACAAAGCAAGCAAGCAAAGTACCCTATACCATTCAAATTTCAGCACTTTATTCCTATCAGTTCTTCTGGCTTCCCTGCCAACACCCTTACTAGCTACCTGTGTTTAACCTCTTAGTCACCAGGTGCTGGTCAGCACCAGTTCTTCTGGCTTCCCTGCCAACACCCTTACTAGCTACCTGTGTTTAACCTCTTAGTCACCAGGTGCTGGTCAGCACACTTCCTACCCATTACAGTCTCGGTGGCAGGCTGCATGCTGGACTTCATGGCAAGTCCTGGACCTCCTGTGCTGGGATCTGTTCCCACCACTCCTGGTCCTGTCTTGGCTGGGACTTATGAGCAGATCTGCCTCTCGCCTCTTTCCTGCCCTGCAGTGCCAGTGAGGTGGACTGGTGCCTTGGCGGTGTGGGACTCTGGCGCCGGGAGTTCTTAACTGCACCCACTTTCAGTGAGTGTTGTGAATCGAGGCTGGAGCACTCCGTACCGAGCTAGCCTGGGAAGGTTTCTTTGCCACCTCCATAAGGAGCTGTTGGAATCTATACTCCTGGTCCTCCCTGGTACAGAGCTTGACACTCCTTCAAATTTTGCACTTTTCAGTGAGATGTTCTTCACGCAAACAGCGAAGGCATGTGTCATGTGGGTTGCAGTTGGGTATAGGGGGCTTACACACTCCACATGACTTAAAGCCTGGGGAATTAGGCATGCCCTGGCACCCCAGAAGGGCTACTCTCTTTGGGCACTTGCCTGCTTTTCCAGTTAATGACAACAGCTTCGCTACACAAAATAAGACAATGAGAGCTATACACTAGGGACTAGGAGATTGCTGAGGTAAGATCGTTAGGATGTTCCAACACCATCATGGACGGTAAGAAGGAATGGAGGGAGGATAGAGTCGACAGTTGTATATACGTGCTAATATTGAAGCGCCACTCTAGGGGTCCCCACAGTATGGGAGCTGCTAGGGGAAAGGTTTCTGACTAACGCGACACACATCCACCTATTTGGAATCGACGTAAACAAGCACTCGAAGAACCAGAGAATATGTACTTAAATGTTACACAGCAACTAATGTCCAGTGGATGAAAATGTCTTGGTTTGTCTTGAAAATGAGCCTTCGACAAAGAATTGTATTTGTTTTCCACTCAGCTGTGCACATAGTGGATTGCACCAATGCAGCCACAAGGATCCTACTTATTTTCTCTCCTGAAATGGATTGTACTAGGATAATTCTAGCATACAAAAGACACACAAGGCAATGTAACACTATGGTGTACCAGACAACAGACTTAGGTATGTCTACACTACCAAGTTTTTCTTGACAAAATGTATGTTGCTGCCCAAAAGTCAACAAAACAAACATCACCAGTGGGTGTTCACATTTTCTCCCTCTGTTTGCTGATCATATCCACATTGGGGGCACCA